AGGATGAATAAAGAGAGATGTGGCAGGAAGCAACTGCGTATTTATGAGTACTATTTCTAGTAGTTTCGTGGAGGGAAACCGAGACGAAATAGAATGGCATTTGGCTTCTCATGATTTTCTGACCAGGTGGGGCTTTGGGTCGATGTAAGCCTATCCTCGAATATAAACTATTGTTTACCAGGTCTTGTGAAAAAAGTATTGAGTCGATGCCTGACGTCACTGTCAGTGGCACAAAGTAGCAATATATTTTACGTCAGTCTTCATCTGCCGAATACGTGTCATGTTCTTTGTCACTGTGTCAGTCTGGTCGTTGAATTGTCATGTGTCTTTGTAAATGTGTTTAAACCCGTGGCAAATGGAGGACATTATATAACGATGAAGTTCGTGAATTGTACATTTCAGCTGGTGTTATGTTTCTAGTAAATCATGGCGGCTAGCCAATGCAGATGAACGACTTTTGTAGGGATTTTAATATGCAGAGTTTCTTTACTGCCAGAAAAAGTAAAGCTATATTAAAACGCTCATGAGTCTTGAGGATTTTGGTCGAGAGCTGCTCATTCGTAAACAGTGTGACATCACGCCAATGTGTCCAGGCACGTTTTCTGTCTGTTTACAACAGAAATGATCATACTTAGTGTTTTCTGTACCAACCTCGAAAAGGAAACGACTTCTGGAGGGCCATCTTGTAGGTGGTAAAAGTCATAATAGCCCAGTTTACTAATTACATACTAGAGCTCAAAAAATAAATATATTTCAGCGTTATTGAATTGAAATATAAAAGAGTGGTACACAAGTACGTATTTGACATGCATTTACCTTACATGTTATTATAATTGAGACATTTTGGGCCGCGTATCTTGTCTAATTCAAGAATTTAGTCGGACACATGAAACACTGAAAAGGACCGCTTGTGGCTTGCGAGTTTAACATTCCTGGTTTGCGGGCATGGCATCTTCCATTACAATTTACCCTAAATAGCCGTCTTTATTCAACGCTGTATTTGCTGTTTAGTTCAGGCAGCATTTTTAAATAAGCTCCGAATTAAAAAAATAATACACAATAGAAAAACATACATGTATATTTTTTATTCTTATCGTACTTTATTTACTAACACAAAATATTTGCAGTGTCTATATTAGGGATGTTTCGTGTTTTTGGTTACGTTATAATGCTCTTAGAACATATGGATAACAGCAGTTCTGATTTACGTATCTTAGCTCCAAGGTTAATACATTTTTCCCTTATAATATTCAATTCAATCCAATTCAATTCTTTATTATTAGTGTGCTGTATCAATAGCCAGAAGGCCAATTACAGATACAGCACAATAGATGAGCACACGAATACAGTAATAAATATAGAAAGATAACAACAAACAGAATATAGGAATACATTAGTATAGAGGACGCTAATACCCAAAGAAAATTACTACTAAATACATTAGTATATTTGTGATAATAATTTAAATAAATTAAGGAAATTAGACTATTGTAGAATGTGATGAAGTGTAACAATTTTCGTCTCGGATATGTCCAAGTCCCTGCAGACGACGACAGCAGCTGATGCGCAACTAGCAGAGGGACTGTATTTGATCGAAGGGCTAAAACTGAACATAGAAAAATCTCTCAGATTCCGAGCAGCGATGCGGAGACCGACAGCTTCCAGAAGGGAAGGACAGTATTTAAGACCGCGGTAAACCTGCCCAAGGAACAGTACATCACTAGAATGCCTTCTCTTACGCAGGGTTTTTATTTTAGTGTTCTGTCTGACGACAGGTCCATATGAACAGGATCCTTCCATCCTTTTCTCGGACTGGGACCTGTTCATATACGTTCTTGGCAGATGATCCAGAAGTGGTTTGCCATTGCCTTCTTCTGTGTGTGAATGGAGTAATTGTTGGGATGCCACGGAGAAACCGGGGAAGCCCCCGGAGGAAAACTCCGTGTTGCCTAGACCACGGCCTTGCCCAACACAAGTTATAAATTCGGGCACCGCCGGGAATCGAATCTGAGACCCCAGAATTACAAGGCCAGCGTTCTAACCGCTAGACCACCGTGGCAGGGTATGGAGTTTTAAACTGCCCCCTGTCAGCTAAAATGCTTTGGAGCTGTCCGTATCATCCTCTCAGATGTGATGTCATTCTGCGTAAAGACCGTACTGTACCCCAGTCGCATCGTCTGGTGACACGTACCAGTCAGCCTTTGTGTATCACGTGCCGCGTGGTAGATCTTGTAAATAGTTGTTTTAGCGAGTACTAATAAGTAGTTTGTTAGTTGGTGCTCCGCAGTGTCGGGTCGGGGTAACGTACAATATCATTTTCTTGGTTAGATCAGTAGTTGGTGAAAAATACAGATGAGATGTGTCCAGTCGAGTATCGCAGTCGGACAATCGATGAACATATGCTCTAGATAACCCGTGGTTCCATGGCACATGGGCAGTGTGGTCAGTGACACATTTATTGCACTGATGACGTAATTGCCCGATTATGTCTCCCTCCGTCTTTACCGTCGAGAGGGTAATAATAGCCTTCCACGATGGATTTCCAGAAGAATTCCACGTCTAACATTTCTTGTTGTTGGGTACATATCAGGAGCCCGTTACAAGACGTCTTCTTAGAAATGGAAGAGGGATTATCTGGCCAACTTTCTTTTTTGTGGAAATGTAAGTTACAGCTGATGTCGAGCGATGATTCTTCGGTGGTAGATGCGGGTAATGGTGTGATTTCTGAAGATTTGCTGCAAGTCTGCGTACGGTAGATGTGCAGCGTGTTGCATCAAAGCACCTACGTTGGTACAGTTTAGAGTTTTATCAGAATGATCAAATAGAAGGGATACGCAGATAGATAACGATATTCAAATGTTATGGCAGTGGACGATTCAGTACACGAATATTATCTTGGACATTGTCCATCGTCTGACTTTGGGGTATTCCAATAATAGGCTCTTCTACTGTCTTTTTTTTTTAGCAAACTCCCAAAATGCCGCGTGGGTATCATTTATAGGTGATATATATACACGATATGGAGGTGCGCGGATGGACTGATAACTTTATAGATTAGACTTCTTGATTGATTCGATCGGTAGATTAGATTCGAACAGAATAGCTGGATAGATGGATAAACAAAACACGAATCACTTAATGAGATTCTTAAGGGCAATTACGACGTGAATGACCTGGTGATGTCCCTGAAATCCGGTCGAAGTTTCCCGAAGAGGTCAGATACCTGATCGGACGCTATTGGACCGGTTTTCGCGCTCATATGTTATAGAAAATGTTAAAATTCCTGATCCTCTAATATCTGTTGCAAAAACATCTGTTATGCTTTGCGTTCAGTAAAGCTATCAACGGTTTTTTGTTCGTCGTTAAGAATACCCTCACTTGATAAAGTTAGCTGTGCCTTAGCGTTCGGAATAAACGCTGACATTCGGGTACAAACACAGAGATTCAGATCTTGAGTTTTATGTCTTCCGTGTTGGAGCAGTAAGTCCTCTGTATACATCGAAATAAGTAATTCTGTAACAGAGCCGGGAATGTTCATTCTGTCTGGACGACCGAAGTTCGTTTTCCGGTAAGCGTCCTTGCCTGCCTTCTCAAGGGGTTAATCTATTTAAGCGTGAAGCTGACCGATCATATCTGGTCTTGTTACGTAGTTAACGCACTTTTTAGGATTCTCGTTAAAGTCAAATAAGATGAACGAATGTGTTTAAATAGGATGTTGTGAATAGGGTAGTTGGTGTCCCGTTGCTTAAAGTGCAGGTTATAGTGGACCGATTTTATTTATTTATTTAGTGTTCTGCCTGACGACAGGTCCATATGAACAGGATCCTTCCATCCTTTGCTCGGACCGGGACCTGTTGATGATCCAGAAGTGGTTTGCCATTGCCTCCTTCTGTGTGTGAATGGAGTAATTGTTGGGATGCCACGGAGAAACCGGGGAAGCCCCCGGAGGAAAACTCCGTGTTGCCTAGACCACGGCCTTGCCCAACACAAGTTATAAATTCG